GCACGGGCGCCCGGGCGGTGCGGGTAGGACTCCGCGCCGGCGACGCCGCCGGGCGCCTCTTCACCTTCCCGGTCGCCCGCCACCCGGGGCGCGTGTTTATCCGCCGTGGAGCCACCGCCCGCTAAGGCTGGGGGTCTGTGGGGCGCAGCCGCTCACCTGGCCGCAGAGGGCAGTCCTGGCTTTCTCGGGGGACACTCCGGTGCCATCTCAAGGCCACTGTGGCTGTAGAAACTCGCCCCATCGTTCCGAGTTCACCGGCCCTGCCTGCCTTGTTTTCCTAATGCGTAGCGTGACTACAGTCTCTGAATATGAGCTTGTTTTCAGCCTGTCTCCCAGGCCCTCAGCTGAGGATCACGGAGCTGGCCATTTGCTCAACCCCAGCACCTACCACTGTGCCGGACGCACAGGAGCGCAAGAAATTTTAACAAATGCATAGATGATGCACAGCCCCTTTTTAAATATCTGTCCTAGGTGCCCAGGGATGACACTTCAAGGTGGTCCCTAAAAGTTTATGGAACTTTTGGTGAAACCGTATTTCCCGTGGTTAAGTTTTAGGAAATGTAGGTGACAATTTTTTGCAAAATTTACTTAGTAAACACAAATTAGGTTTTAGAAAGCCTTGCACGATGAAATGCCTGCAAGATTTTTTTTAAAGTGATACTCACCTTTAAAGTGGAGACAAGTTCATTCTTCTTGTTGGAACTAGCGCTCATCTATGGGAAGTGACACTTGGAGACAGTTTCTTTTCGGGACTCAGAAGGTGGGGGTAGGCAGAGGGCGTGAGTCTCCTTTTGAAAGCATTTTCACTTTCGTTATGTAATTCTAAGACATTTTATCGTCATAACTTGTGTGTCTGTTTTCAGAAGGTGCAGTGCATTAATTGTGCTGTTGTTACCTGGTATCTGTTTTCAGGGTATTGAACCTGGGTCTGTGTTCCGATTTGTAGATCGGGCTGACTGGTGGAAAATACCAGAATACCAAAAGAATTTTTTACCCGATCAAAATTTAGTCTACACATGAAAACACGTTTTAGGGGTGATCTAACACACAGTTTTAAAGATACCTAACAATATATAATTCAATGAAGATGCAAACTATGTCTTTCTTACTGTTGATTAGCGTTTCTTTTTCTCTGAAGGTCTACAATCAAGTGAAATGTTATGTCCATAGTGCCCAAATCTTTAACAGAAATGCCTGTATTCATTTAAAAATAATCCTTTTCAGTATTGTGCATGTGAATTCATGTTTTCTGATCAGGCACCTACTTTTTGTTTTAGGCATCTACTTTTTATTGAACATTTTTTTACTTCTCTGGGAATTATAAATACCTCCTACCCTCTGCTCAGGGTTATGAACACCTCATGTGCTAGAAGTTAATGTGTAGCTTTTTCACTAAGAAAAGCAACATTCTAGAGAGCACTCTCCAGGGCAGCCTTCCCTAAGCATAGTTCACCTCTGACTCTGAAGGCTCCAGTGGTGTGTTTCTACTTCAAACTCCAGATTAGCACCAACTTCTCAACCTCTTCCGTCTTCCAGCCTAGTGTGTGACGAGGAATGAGGCGCCTACCTGCCCGATGCCCCGTTTTCACTGTTTGTAAACTGAGATTGGTCCTAGAATACATACTCTGAGGATTAAATGAGAGCCGTGGATGTAAAACACCTACCAGGTGATGGCATGGAGTAAGTGCTTAGTAAATTTGAGCCATTAACATTATTTGTCTCATCCAGTCTCTGGAGAGGCTTATCTGAACTTGACAGTCGGAAGCCAGCTTTCTCAGTTCATTTCTGTCACCTAGTAAATTGGGGAACCCTTTAGTAGAGTTAT